AGGATTGCCCAACCTTCCTTCCGAGGAGTGGCTGGTGGGTTTGAACCGCCAGCCTTCTGGTGAGCAGTCAAGTGCTTTAGCCACTATGCTACCAGAGCTCAGTCTAATAGTTTAACCATTGCACCACCAGAGCTCCTTCTTGTTTGGAAAGTACAGAGTAAATATCAGTGGTTTTGGAAGTCAGGAGATCTGGGTTCTTAGATCAGTTTTGTCATTAACTATTGTGATCGTGAACAAGTTGGATTTCTCTAAGCTACTATTTTCTTCTTGGCATGAAACTTTCTCCAAAGCTCAAAGCTTAGAAAATGTTTGACTCTTTACGGATCAGTATGCTTCCTTCCTAATGAAATCATGTTCCCCTTTCCTAAGGTTGAAGGGAACCTCAGGGTGAAGTTTGTGTACAGATAAGCCTAGCCCTAAAATTCTAGTTATTTCTTTGAGTTAGTGGTCCTTGGTATTTTTTTGGAACTAGTAGGATAGAAATAACCTGCAGTATTAACTCACAGTATTACTGGAGCACAAATGAGAAATCATTAAAGTGCTTTGACTGTATATGTGTATGTTATTATATTTGTTGTCGATGATGACAAAGAATTCCTTCAGGTGTATCTTAAGTTAGTTTCCTTTGGTTAGATTTTCAGTAAAGATGGAGAAAAACTGGTTTCAGCCAATAATTTTTTTTAACCTTTGACATTTTAAAAGCTCCCCCCTGCTTCTGAAATGACCACAGTGTTGGGGTTTGCGCTTCTGTTCTATCCATTTTAATCTGTGGGTATTATTGCATTAGCGCTCCTAAGATAGGTGTAAGTGCTACATCTGACACCTTTAGGAAAAGGCCCTTAAACTCTGAGGTCCTTGGAGCTGATACAGGAGGAGGTTGTTAGTACAGACAAGTAGGAGCGCTCTTACTGGGGAAAAGGTGGGTCATCATAAACCAAGGAGGAGATTACCCAGAGGGAGTGGGGCCCTCACATTGTGATGGACCTCATTGAGTGGTTTCCTGATACTGTCAATAGAAATGGGAAGGCAGAAAGTAATCACTGTGAATTTGAATTTAGCTTGGGCTGGGGAGACAGACCTCGGCTTCAGTCAAGCCACTCCCCTTGTCTGAGCCTCAGCTACCACACCTAGAGAACAGGGAGCTAGCCCTGAGGGGGCTCTCGGCTTTTACACTGTGATTGGATTAGCCTGCTGGGCCTGCAGTGATTTCCTGTGCTTTGCAGGTGCCTGTCGCAGAGATGGCAGCGTGGAGGCAATGCATCCAACTCCTGTACTGTTCTTTCCCTGCTGGGAGCCCCCTGCGCCTTCATGGGCTCTCTGGCCCCTGGCCATGTTGCCGAGTGAGTTGAGGAAGAAGCACAGGGGAGGCCTGCCTAGAGGGTGGGGGGAGAAGAGGACATCTTCACCCTGGGAGAGTGGGTATCAGGAATGGGTTTGTGGCCACCAGAAATGGGTGGGAGGGGGCGGAGTGGAGTCCCAGGATCCCAGACCCTTATCTGTTATTCAGGTGTTAATGATGCTTCTGTTAAGGTTTCATTTCTACAGCTCGTTTGCTTGGCCACTCTCTGGAACCTGCTTAAGCTTCCCCACCTTCTCCTACCTTGCTTCCTACAGACTGTATGCAGTGGATTTGACTTTGCCCTTATTCAGTCCCTTGTCCTGGCTGTGTTTGAGGCAGGAGGCAATTAGGGACATGCTGTATCCACCCCTCCCTCAGGGATACCCAGTGTCCAGGGGCCCAGAGACCAGCCCACAGTTTACTTCCCAGTGGAGAGGGCAAAGCATCCAGCTAAGGACATCCCAAAGCCACCTGCTAAAGCTGGGCCTAGGAGCCATGCCTCCAGCGCACTGGCTGTCAAGGCCACGGTTTGTAAGCAGCCACGTGCTTTCTCCATGTTGGCTGCGGCAAGGACCCAAAAGCCCTTTGACCGACTACTGACTAAGCAAGCATTTATCAGGGGGTGAGGCCCACACTTTGCCCACTGTGGGCACTGGGGCAGGTTGCCAAGTTGCTGGTCTGTGAAACACAGCCCTTTGAACTCATTTGAGGGGGGCTGCTGCTGGAGCCCAGCACCTGAGCCACAGCCAAACTCCCCCACTTTGAACTGGCACCAAGCAGGTAAGTCAAGGACCTACCCCATGAGATGGGACAGGGCTTGAAGCCAGTGGCCAATCAGTTAGTTCAATAGCCCCCTTCCTGCTGGAGGCAGGCCTGTGGCTCTTAGTTAGTACAGTGGATCCTCCTTTATGTAACAATCAAGCCAACAGGTGGCCCATTCTGAATTCTCATTTGTTCACCAAACGTTGAATGAGCATCTACCATGTGTCAGGCACTCAGGTGCAAAAAGTTGTCTGGCAAATCAAACCATATATTCAATGCTCTGAGAAGTCTACTATTTAAAGGACCCTTGAGGTGTTCAACAAGGTGTATGCTCTGACTTGTCACCTTTATACAAACCTGGCTTGCCAGGCTTAAAGTGAGATCCAGCTACAGTGAGAATAGCCTGGATGCGTGATAGCTGAACTGTTGGGCAGAGTTGCCAGCTCTTGGGCACAGAAAACACCATTTCCAGAGAGGGGTTCCTTATTCTTCTGCTGGCCCAGTCTTCTTGAAGGGATGCCGGTGGGATCACTGATTGGATGGGATTCTGGGAAAGAGTCCTGGACCAGGCCCATATTGAACGGCACCAGGCACTTGGAGCCAGCTAACTGCCCTGGAGGGGTACCTTTGCTACAGGAGGAGAGGGTAGTGGGGAGCATGATGGAGGCAGTGTAAGAATGAGAAGAATCCCAGCTGTAGGACTGGAAGGGACTTCAGAGAGACAAGTATATGGGGATGAGCATGCAGAGGGCAGCTGGGGGGCAAAGTACCACCTTGGTGATTAATTATTAATTCTTCTTGGGCCTTGCATAAAAACTCACCCAGGCCTCTACCTGCATGGTTCAAATGGATACAGAGTCTAGGCCCCATATCTACCCCTGTCTAGCTTTATGAACTAAAGAAGTGTTTTTCCATCTTGAGATGGTCAGAAGGACAGGGTCAGGGTTGGAGCTGCTCAGTCAGGTCCTAAAAGAATGTCACTTGGTGTTTCTGTGAGTTCCAGGCTGTGCTCCTGCCTTTCCTGTCCTCTTGCACAGCCTATGACCCTTCCAGGACTGGACTCTCATTTCCAGGTCCCTCCTAGTCTTTCTCCATTTGCACCCCTGCCTTTCAGGGTCCCTAGTGGCCCTACCAGCTATCCTCCACTCCCCACAACCCTTGTCGAACTGCACCTTCCTCTGGGTTACTCCGCTCTGGCAGTTTTGTCCTGGATGATCTCCGCCGCTATTCTGTGGACCTACGCTACACGGTCTTTCAGACCATGGGCTCTGTCCCTATCTCTACGGTCATCATCAACGAGGCCAATGGCAGCCGCACCATCCTACACGCCTATAGGTTCGTATATTTGTCTGCGCCTCATCGGCTGCCGCCGCTGTCACTAAACTCCAAGAACAGGTCCCTTCTTTTTCCAGAGGCCTCAAGTTCTCCAGCACCTCCTCCCCACTCCTGTGAGAGGTCTAGGCCACTTGTAAGCTCTAATCCGTATCTCCTTGCCCTTTCCCTGGCTCGGGCTCCACCTCAAGTTTCCTGGTGGCTGACTTCAGGCAGCGGGGTGTGGACGTGTCTCAGGTGGCCTGGCAGAGCAAGGGGGAGACCCCCTGCTCTTGCTGCATCGTCAACAACTCTAATGGCTCCCGTACCATTGTGCTCTACGACACGTAAGGCCCCTGGCCTCAACCTGCCACAGCCCACCAATCATTTCACAGCCTCACTCACCACTGTGGGCGTCCTGAATGCCCACTCTCTGCAGGCTCTCTCTTTTCCAGAAATTGCCCCCATGCCAAAGTGTTCGATGATTTTTGAATTGTTTTCAATTAGGGGAGAAGTGAGGTGGGAAGCAATGAGCTTTGCTCTGCTTGGCAACTTGGCCTTGTTCAGCACCAAGGATGGGCAGGCAGGCCTGTACAAAATGTAATTTATGATGTGATTCCTCTGTAATCAGCAGCCTTGGTGCAGGGAGGTGGGGGGAGACTGTTCTCAGGACAGAGGGGTGGAGGTTGTGAGTCAAACCGTCTCAAGGGCAAGAGGGCCCACTTGGATTTCCAGGATCAGCCCCAGAGTTGTCAGCCTGCAGCATGGCACCAAGGAGCTGAGACTCAGATGTTCAAAGGAGATGAGTCACCCAAAGGCCCAAGGATAATGAAGCCAGACCAAATACTCCACACACGATTTGCAGCCATTGCTGGAGGAGAGGGAAAGCAGATCAGGGTCAGCAGATCAGGGCTGTCTTATGTGTGTGTGTATGCGTCCATCCTTTCAGGGTCCCAAGTTACTAGGGAAAGGGCCTGTGGGTCTAGATGTTTTCTCATCCCCTCTGAAGAATCTCTGAGGTTTAGCTTACTGAGGACCTAGTACATTCCAGGTACTGTGTTAGGGCTGGGAGGGACCAAGCCCAGCTGCATTGGGGCCCAGGGTGTCCCTACTACCTGGCATGACCACTAGACCTGGGGAAGAAAGACAGTTACCCCAGGACAAGCTTAATGACCAACTCTGGGCTCCATGTGTCCCAGTGAGTGGGCAGGCATATGTGCTAGAGATAACTTTCAGATGGGGCAATCCTATTCATGTGCCCATTAAGCAACAATCTGTAGCAACTTTGATCAAGGACATGACAAGGGTATTCACAGGAAGTGAGGGAGAGATGTGAGAAGAAATGTTTATTGGTTGCCAGCCTCACTCGAGGCATTTTCACAGTTACCTCCAATTCCAGTAGCTTGTGAGGCTACAGGTTTGAGCCCCATTTATCTCAGAAAGGCTGAGGTCACACAGCTAGTTAAGCAGACAAAAGATTGGGCCACAGAGTACAGGTGGGAAGACAATGGCCATGGGTAGGTCTCTGGCCAAGAAGAGGGAGAGGCAGACCCTTTCCCAGGATTCCGTGCCTAAACCAAATATGAACTCATCCTCATCAGGGTTGTGACGCAGCCTGCCAAATTCAGGACAGTGGTGCCATAGGCAGTCGCAATACTGGGATGCTAAAAGTGAGTAAGGTTGGACCGGAGCTCTGGGCAGTGGCCAGAGCAGCTGGGCACTGCATGCTGGGAGCTGCATTTGCTGCAGGCAAGGAGAATTTTGGGAATTGTAGTCTCTAGTGCTCCTAGAGTATTCTGGGAGCTGTGGTCTCCAAGGCACAGAGGGCCTTGACCCCTTGACATTTGTCGCAGCTGAATATACCATTGGATAATCTCAGTCGGAAATGCAGGATCACCTGTCTGGCAGGGAGGGGCAGCCTAGCAAATTGCCTTCAGGCCCCTGTAGGTGTTTAGTTTCGGGAGTTTAGCTTAGGACAGGGCCTATGCTGGAGCTGAGCCTGAGACTCCTGTGCTATAGATCCAGCTTCCTGCCATGCTGCAGGTGGCGCCAGGCAGAGGGTTCCCCGGTGCCAGTTAGAGATCCTGGCCCTGGCTGACCTCACTGTGCTCCTCCTCTGTCCTTTCCATCTCATGGCCGCCTAGGAACCTGCCAGATGTGTCTGCTGAGGACTTTGAGAAGGTTGATCTGACGCGATTCAAGTGGATCCACATTGAGGCAAGCACTGCCCTACCTGTATTTCAAGCACTTTACCTTGCCAGCCCTGTCCACTGTTTTCCCTCTTTTGGTTTCTTCAAACTAGGAAGTACTTAAGAAATAACTGAATCCAACCTTCCTCAACCCCTTCTCCATCCTCCCTCATGTTTTTAGATGAGAAACTAAGATCTAGGAACATTAGGCATCATGCTCAAGGTCACCCAGCAGAATGCCGGCACAGCTGGCTCCAAGCAAAGCCCAGTGCTTGCTATGTTATTGGCTGCCCCATCTCTGCCAGTAGCCTGGCTCTGTAGGATAGTTGACCTCTAGGGCAGCAGGAATGAGAGGGCCTGACCTAACTCCAAATCAAGGGAACTAGGACCTTCGTTCCAAAAAAGGAATTTTGGAGTCTGGGTGGGAGGAAACCTATAGATGTCCTGAGTTCTGATCCTAGTCTTATCATTTAGTTTATTGTAGGTCCTTGGGAAAGTCTCTTTTACTCTTAGTGACCTCTTCAGTGAGATGGGAGGGCTGGTCCATAAGGTCTCCAAGGCCTATGATGACTCTAGAATTTTGTGACTTGGGATGGAGTTCTAGCCCAGCTTCCTCGGCCCCTCTCCCTCTTCACCCAGAATTCCAGCTGGGAGGGAAGAATGAGCGAAATAGGCCGGGCAATGCCCAGCTGGTCCTGAGCTGCCTGCCCTGCCCCAGGGCCGGAACGCATTGGAGCAGGTGAAGATGCTGCGGCGGATAGAGCAGCACAATGCCAGGCAGCCTCCGGAGCAGAAGATCCGAGTATCTGTGGAGGTGGAGAAGCCCCGGGAGGAGATATTCCAGCTGTTTGGCTATGGAGATGTGGTGAGCGCCCCACACAGCCTTCTTGCCACATACAGCACAGCAGCTCATTCTTAAAGAGAGCCCAAGAGTCGTCTTCTCCTGCCTACCACCCTTGGAATGGCAACTCCTGACTTCATGGTGTTGGAAGATGGGGGTAAAGCAGAGAGGCAGACCTCCAGCTTTGGGCTCCTGTCCAGGCCTCAGCAGTGGCCAAAGAGTAGAATTTCTCCATCCCACATGGATGCAGGAGTGTAAGGGTAGGCAGAAGGCTGGGACAAGGCCAAGATAGCCTCAGGGTTCTCCTGTCTGCAAGCATCTCCTCTCTGGGCCTCCTCAGTCTTCTCCTCTGTAGAATGAACTGTTCTCTGAAGTTTGTTCCATGTAGGTGGGTAGCAAGTTGTGGGAGTGGGGGGCGGGGTGAGGGGTGGGTGGGAAGGGAACTTGCACAAGGTAAATTTGGGCAGGACTAGGGTGTAGATGGAGTTTGAGTGATAATCCTAGTATCATAGCCCAAGCTGGTTGGAGACCAGACTACTCTGCCCTTTGGTTTTCACCCTGAATGTCTCTCTAAAAATGTGGATATCTGAGCTCCAGCCTCAAGTTTTTAATTTGATTGGTGAAGTGGAGCCTAGGCTTCAGTATTTTGTAACAAAACTTCCTTTGGGGAGTCTAAGGTGTAGTGGGTGTTGAGGGAGTTCTCGAACCTCTACGCCTTTATTTTACTGATGAAGAAACCAGACCTAGAGAGCAGAGTTATGTGAAGGGAAAAACAAAAACAAAACAAAAAACTCCTCTCCTCCAGCACAGTTTATCTTGGCAGTGGTGGATTTCACCCCAAGGTGGCACTCAAGGTTCTCTTTGTGTTTTCAAGTGAAGAAATTCACTGATCTCAGAACAAATAGTAAGTTGCCGTTTGAGTTGCCGTTTGACACCGCAGCCGTTTGACACCGCAGCCGACTCATGGCATCCCCACGTCAGAGTGTAACTGTGCTGCATAGGGTTTGCAGCGGCTGTATTTTAAAAGTAGATCTCCTTGCCTTTCTGAGGTGCTTCAGAGTGGAGCCTCCAACCTTCTGTTAGCATGCAAGCAGGTTAACTGTTTGCATTACCCTCAGAAACAGACCAGCACTCCTGTGCTGCAGTTCACGTGGTTGTATTCTATTTTTTTTGTTTTTTTTTTTAATGTGTTCCAGTGGGATAGTGCAATGCTATGTTGGGATTTATGTGGCCATGTTGAGGGAGTCTTTACAACATAGGGGCAACACTAGGCTGCTGCTGGTGAGGGGCAGAGCTGGGACTAGAATGAGAGCTGATCACCAGCCTCCCTTCCACCAATAACAGGTGTTTGTCAGCAAAGATGTGGCCAAGCACTTGGGGTTCCAGTCAGCCCCGGAAGCGCTGAGGGGCTTGTATGGCCGTGTGAGGAAAGGGTGAGCTGGGGCAACCCAGGAAGGGACCCGAGGGTATGAGGAGTGGGAGAACCTGAACTCTAGTCGTCTGTCCCCGGTGGGGGGTGGTTCTGGGGAAGAGATGGCTGACACCCCAGCTGAGCGGAGAGGCTTGCAGGGCTACACTTGTCTGTGCCTGGGCTGAGGAGGGTGCCGACGCCTTGGGCCCTGACGGACGGCTGATCCACTCGGAAGCTTTCTCCCCACCCCGGGTCGTGGATACTCTGGGGGCTGGAGACACCTTCAACGCCTCTGTCATCTTCAGCCTCTCCCAGGGTGAGTACCCCAACGGGAGGGGACAGAGCTGGAGCCCACCTCTGCCCCGAGACCAGAGTAACCCAGCTACATGTCCTTCCCTCTAGGGAAGAGTGTGCAGGAAGCACTGAGGTTTGGCTGCCAGGTAGCAGGCAAGAAATGTGGCCTACAGGGCTTTGATGGCATCGTGTGAGAGCCCTGTGGCAGGAGGAACTGGCTTACTGCCCTTCTCCTGGAGGCTGGCATCCAGGCTCTCCTGCTCCCCGAGAAGATGCAGACTACGGTGAAGACTGCCTGTGTCCCCCCACATCTCATCCTGTATAACCACAGAGCAAATAAACCTACCCCAGAGTCAGCCTCCTCTGTTAGTCTGTTTGTCCTTCTTAATGTCTGAACTGCTCTGGCTAGGGACTCCCTTCCCCAAATTAACCTCCCTGCCCAGGCCTGCACCCCAGTGCACCTTCCAAATGACCAGAAGTTATGAAGAAGCTCCTCTGGGCCCTGCTCTTTGCCAAAGACTCCACGCCCTTGGACCCAGGAGCCAAGAGTCCACATGGCTGAGCCAACTGTCCAGGCAGGGAGTGTACTCTGTGGTTTGGTGAGGCCATGATGGTCTAAAAATATCTTCCCCAGAAAGCCCATCCTTGGAGCCTGCCTTGTAGTTAAGGTGGTGCCTCAGCCACAGATGTGCCCAGGATACAGAGCATTGTGAGGGAGAACAGCTCCAGAGGAGGGCAGCTTGGAATTGGGGGCCAACATTAATATGGGAGTTGGGGCAGGGTGGGGAGAGTCATATAATGAGATAAAGAGCATGGAGCTTTGGAGTCAGAAAGATCTGAATTCAAATCTCCCACTTAATTAGGTGTGTAGGTAAGTGGGTGAGTTGCTTAACTTGACTATCCTCAGTTTCTACATTTGTCAAATGGAGCTAGTAATTCCACCTGGCCCACAGAATTATTGTGTGGATAAAATCAGATAATACATAAAATGCCCATCATGACAGCTGGTATGAACTAGTCTCTCAATAAATAATAGTTATTAATATTACAGGGTGGTGGGGAAGGCCTGCCCTTGCATTTGGCAGGGGTGGGGTGGGTGTGCGGAAGGAGCAGGAGGGTGTTGCGGCTCCAGGGACAGACAGCTTTCTTCACGGGGTTGTCTGCAGCTGGCTGTGGCCTAGCCCCACAGGCTTTGCTGTAGCTCAGTGCCACCAGGTGCTGGGAACACTGGGAAAGCTGAATCCCTGTCCTTTCAAGAGGCCTGTCCAGTTGCTGCCCCCTGTGCCCCTGTGGACATCTGCGCAGGCTAGGCCAGAGGATAGATGGCCAGGGGGATAAATTCATTCTGTTCTTTATTGGTTGTCTGGGCCCTAAAAGCTGACCCCCAACTTAGAGTCTCCCTGAGCTGCACAGAAAGTCTTGTCACCCCTCTGGAGCCAGGAAGGGGACACATGGGAGGCCCTCATCCCAACACACACACTCCCCCTGGGGGCTCGTGTTCTGGCACTGAGACTGTTAAGAGTACAAACCTGTGTACTCATGGTTTATATTTCATCATTCTCCAGCTGGATAGTATGGACCTCAAACTCCTGAGGGGCGTCCCTAGATGCCAGTGTTTCCCCTGGGAGCTCTTCTGCTTCCTCTGCAATGTTCTTGGCCTCTGCCTGCCCCGCAGCCTGCCCTCCGGGACCCAGGGCTTCAGTGTTCACCTCTGTCAGTCCCCCAGCCTCCCCTTCAGGACCTGGGGCTGCTGCTTCAGCCTTTCCTGGTCCCCCAGATTCTTGAGCAGGCTCTAAGGACACCCTGCTGGCCTCTGCCTGTTCCCCAGCTTCCCTGAGACTCAGGGCTTCTGGTATTTCTTGTCCTAATGGGCTTTTAGGCAACAGGGGCTGCCTTCCAATAGCATGTGGCTCCTGGGGAGTGGGGGCAAGGGGCCCTCTGGGGGCCTCTCCTGGGAAGTTGATGAGCTCTGCAGGAGTTATGAGCCCATCCCCATTCATGTCCTGGGTCTCCAGCACCTTGTCCACCACCAGGATCACCTGTGGGAGCACATCACACATCTATAGTGACCCAGGATGTTCTCAGGATCCCCTGCCCAACGCCCCTCACATCCCTGTCATGCAGGTTCTGAGCCCTCCTTTTACAGAGGCTCACCAAATAATCCATGGTGAGAAAGACAAAAGTCCCAAGGAGCTTGTCTCTTTCATGGGAGAAGGGCCCACCCCCATCAAGCAGTTTACCGGATTGGTGGATGGAGAGTCAGCAGCCTCAGGGGCCAGAGCTGCTGTCAACATGGACAACAGCTCCAGGCCATCCAGCTGTCCACTCTGGTCATAGTCGTGGAGGGCAAAGAGGTAGAGGAGAACTGAGGAGAAGAAGCTGAATCAGAAGAGGCATCAAGGGGCAGGTGGAGAAGGCAGGAATCAACGGGCTAGCCCCCAGTTCTGGCCACCCCAGCCCCTCACCCTGCTCCCGGCTCATGTGCTCTGGCTCCTCTTCCATCCTCTCTAGTCCCTTTAGGTAGCTCTGTAGGAGTCTGTCAGAAAGTGGAAAGTCAGCCCAGGAGAGACCAGGCTGCAGGCCCAGCCCTGGTCCAGGCCCCCAGCCCGGCCTACTCACCGAAGGTGCTCCTCGCCCGGCAGGAAGGGGTTGGGCAGGGGCTGCTGCAGCACTTCAGGCTGGGACCTGGAGGAGGAAGGAAAGGGGCAGCCCTGCAAATAGCCTCCCTGCAGGGCCCAGCACACTGGCCCTCCACCCCAAACCTTGGCAGACACAGTTCTTTCCCAAGAGCCAAAGGGAATTGCTCCTCAAAAACCCCAAAACCTAATAAGAAAGAGGCAGGCCCTTCTTGTCCCCTTAGAAGTAACACCTTACTCCCTCAAAGTGTTTTTGCAAGTTTTGCCTAACTTGGCTTAAATGAAAACTCAAAAATCCGCTTAATAGAGGCCACATATAGTAGATACCAGTTGGAGACCCAAGAAAGCAGCCCAGTGAGTGGCAGGACACTGGGGACCATGGCAGCTCTTCTATTTGGGTGCTGGGAAGCAAGGGGCAGGTCTCAGGCTGAGCTTAGTGGCCCTGCCCACTTTTATATAAGACCCGATTTGCTCCATGACAAAAAATTGTTTGTTTGTTTCCTATCAGAGGGCAGTTAATATGTTGGTTTGGGGAGTTTTAATCTGCTCAGGGTCTATGTGTCAGTCTTCAAGGCTCACATGTTTGCCCCAGTTCTGGACAGAACTACCTGTTTGTCCAAATCAGCCAGGCCTGCCACCACAGACAGTTAGCAGGAGTGGTTGCAGCAGCCCTTGCTGCTGCTACTGTATCTATCTCCACTCCTGCCCAGCATACCACTGCTTAGTATTAATAACTAGAACCTTGAGAAAGGTAGTTAAATATAATGGGCATGGCATGCTCATGAGCTCTATTTCTTATCAATAATCAAAATGGCCATGCTGTCCAGACAGCCGAAAGTCCACAGCTCAGTTTGTCTCCTTTGCTGTTTCCCCTTTTAGTTGTCAGCCACCAGTACAGTTGTCCGTGCCCCTTGAGGGGCAGGGCTGATTTTCAGTTAGTGTTCAGGTTCTAATACCATTTGTAAATATTAAAACCGCCCATGCTATCAGGATAGCTGAGTCTGCAGCTCTGTTTGTTTCCTTATTCACTGTTATCATTCAGGTTCTTCTACTGTTTGGTATTTAATCCACTTCTGTATCCTTCCTTTCAAAGCTCAGGGCTCCAGGGTTATCTTCTGTATCTGTGTCAACTGGTTTCTCTTTTCTTTGTTGAACAGGATTTGTATCCTTTCCCTGTCTATTCTGCCATCTTACCAGAAGTCTATGAGCACTGTTTCTTTGGGGTTCCACTATAAGGGGATCAGAGGACTGAAGCCTTTCCCTACTTATTAGTTCCTTCCTATGCATGATACCTCTTTGGAGCTGAGTTCCATGTTTCCAAATGAGTTCAGTATTGAGTTTCCACTTTGTGTAGGGCACTCTGAGAGGCACAGGACAAGAGGCTGGGGTGGGATACAGAGATTGGGGTGTACATCTCAGTGTCCTGCCTCCGTCAGGTTTCCTGGAGACTCCCTGCACCCAGTCTATGGCCCTCCCCTCATCATCCCATTACCTTGTGACTCCATCCTTAGGAGCAGCCTGACCCAGGGACAGAAGCAGCAGCAGCAGCACTAACACTCTCATCATCAAAGGTAGCATTCTTCCTTTAATTGGAACCAGGAACAGAGTTAGGGGGTCAGCAGGGAAAGGGGTGCTTTCCATAAGAATAGGAGATTAGCTGGGTTAGATAGCAATGCCTTCCTCTCCCTGCCTCTTCTCTGCAACCCAGGAGATAGGACTCCTGCTCAAGGGAGGAGTCACCCACAGACATGAGAGATCACCCAGGTTGGTGGGCTACACACTTGTTTCAGTGGTGAGACTCTTCAAAATACATCTTACTGCACATCTAGTAGATAAAGCACATAAAAGCATGGCCTCCCCATATGCTCCTCCCCCTTGCCCCTGCCAGCCCCCTGAAGTGCTCTGAGAAGTGCAATTTAAATGTGTATGACCTCTGGTAGCATAGTGGCTAAGTCACTTGCCTGCCAACCAGATGGCTGGCGGTTCAAATCCACCAGCCACTCCTCGGAAGGAAGGTTGGGCAATCCTACTATCCCCACTCCTCGGAAGGAAGGTTGGGCAATCCTACTATCCGTAGTGATACTGCCTCGGAAACCCAAGGAGGGGTCACTATGAGTCGGGGTCGACGACGGCACATAACAACAACATGACCTAGTTCCGGTCCACTCATTTTACAGATGAAGAAACCAGAGCAGAGAGCTTAAGAGGAAGGCCAGATTCAAAGACACAGGGAGTCTAGAAAAAGACTAACCAAGGCAGAGAGGGAAATAGATTTTTTTTTTCAATACCCATTGAAGAACAAACGGAAACAAGTTCAGACTCCTTGAACTAGGTCTAAATTCAGATACAGACTGAAAGCACAACAGATCAGCATCAACCCAACAGTGGTCCCAGGAATTGCTATTATGAAATGCAGTTAGAAAAACAAGATCCCAATATAAAAGAAAAAACAAAAATTTCTCCTTAAGCCTACATTGTGTAGGGCCATTTGCAAAAACGATCACTTGATTATATTAAAACTACGGTAAAATACAGAGAAGATTGAGCAAAAGCACAAGGAGTTTAGAACTGCCGCTAACTTGAAAGCTGGTAGTTTGAACCTACCTAGTGGCACTGCAGAAGAAAGGCCTGGTGACCTGCTCCCATAAAGGTTACAGCTGAGAAAACTCTAGGTGCAGTTCTGCTCTAACACATAGGGTTACCATGAATCCGACTTGACAGCAACAGGTTTAGTTTGGTTTGGGAGCAAAAGCACAGGGCACAAACCTTTCTGATTAGTCCCAGATGTGTGCACATATATTGTGAGTTCCAGAGGAAGCAGAAGTCCACCAAAGCCGAGGCCCAAGACCTCAAATCCATCTCTAGGAAGAAAAGTCATCAGATGCTTGATGGTTTAACACAGATTCTAGGAACCCTCTGAAATTGTTCCTACACGCTGGTTGTCACTGCATTTTCCTGAGGAAAGTGTTCATAGCTTTCAGCAAATTCCCAAAGAGTTCTGTAGCCCTAATAAGGTTCAGAATCACTAGAAGGGTGGACATCACCTTCCTAAGAGATGAAGGATAGATCAGGTGAGCATCCAGCTAACAGGAAGATAGACCAAAATTATGGGCCTGACACCAGTGGGAGCCTGGCTGTAGGCTGTGCCAGGAGAGTTGCCTTGAAGAATCAGCAAAACATGGAAGTTCACAAGAAGGTGAAACTTCCAAGGGCCATAGCAACGCTCTTCATTTTTCTGTGCATACAATTGGCGCCAACAGATATAGTGAGTATACATAGTTTGTTGGTGTCCATAATAAATGTGGAGTACTTCTATTTCTGGCAATAGGCAGCTGGAAATTTTGGAGAAAATGGTACTCCTGTTACAAAATGTGTCAAAGTGCATGATAAATGCATAGTTAAGTGCATTAGAAAGTAAGAGAGATCCCCAGTGGCCAAGTGGGTGCTGGTGCTAAAGCTGCCCTAAAGGTGTTCACAAAGATTGTCTACCTTTATTTGTTGTGCTCAGGAGAGAAGCCAAGGTCTTGGAATCATCCAAGATAGACAATTGGAACTGAGATCTCCATATGATACAATATGATACGTGATATGATGTGATAGCCAATGAAATGTCCAGTGAAAATCACTTACAAAGTGGGTAAAAATAATACTGACTTTGAAAAAAACACATTGAGTTGGCAAGAAAGCAAGAAAGTCTTAGAATTTCTTCATTCCCTGCATAAAGCACAGTGAAAATGGTACTACTGGGGAAAATGTGAGCTTGAAGTCAGTTTTTGCCTTAAGAATATCTGCTAAACCACGAGTAGCAACAGGGATCTTAAAAGCTTGCAAGCAGCCATCTAGATGCAATGATGGGTCTCTCCTCGTCCACAGCAAAGAATGAAGAAAACCAAAGATTCATGGAAGCAATTAGTCCAAGCAACTGGTACACCATGTGATCCTCAGCCTTTATGATCAGAACTAGATGGTGCCCAGTTACCACTGTCAACCACTCAGAGGGGGATCTATGTAGGAGATGCTGGATAGACTGGGAAAACAATGTGGAACAAAACTCAAAA